AACTGTAATCCTATGATGCCTAGTTTGGGTATTTATAATATTTCAAATCATATGGGGAGGTAGCTTGATGGAGAAATCTACTCTAATGAACAAACCAGGATGTTGATATGAGGCTTTGTTCTTGGATAAACATACTTGCTTATTTCTGTTAATGAGCTGCATTAATTTTACTTAGAAGATGAAATGGTAAAAATATTTTCTAAATCAAAAAGCACATTTGCATTTTAATATGAACATGAAGTTAATAATCAACTTTGTTGAACATTTAGAAGTCATATAGCCATAGATTAACCATTCAATCTAACATTAATTTAAAGCCTAGTACATATAGGATTGGCAGTGCATTGCAATGAATAGATAAGCAGGGCTCAAAGTCAGCAAGACCTGGGGTCAAGTCCTGCCCCTCATTTGCATTGGTTGTGTGACTGTGAGGAAGTCATTTAATCTCTCAGTTTGCCCAGGCAATTTTAGGACCACATAAGTTGTAGAACAGTTGCCCATCTGAATTGATAGTTTCTATGGAAGTGATTCCATATGCCAATGATATCACAGGTCCAGATTAAAAATTTGCAAGGTACTGTATTAAGTGTGAAGGATATAAAAATTGTAGGATCAAAGATTTAGAACTGTAAGGGACCTTGGAAATCATTGAATCCAATCTCATGATTTTGCAAATGAGGAAACTGAGGTTACATCTAGTAAGTGGCAGAGACAGGTTTTAAATCCAGTCCTCATAACTCTAATTTATTCTTCAACATGTCATGAGATGAATAATGATACAGTCCTTGCTGTCAAGTAGCTTGCATCTAATGGGCAGATATGATAAGGACATACTCCTAAAGGTCTGTAATCTTGCTGGTGGGGCTATTCCCTCAATGATACAAATCACAACCATCCATGCCTACTATTCTATGCAACTTGCATTCCTGTCGTCCCATAAGCTCACCACAGAGGGTCCACCCAATATGTGAAGGGCATTCCTCAAGTTCTCTTGATATTGCATGACTGCCAATGGATCTTATGGCCTTCCCATCAGTTATCATCCCACACTCTTGCTAAGTGGCTAGCTCATCTTTTTTCTGCAATATACTTCTTTGATGAATTTTTTTTCTTGGAGTCTGGGTCTCCCTATTTTACACAGGCCGAAAGGCTACACAGGCTACTCATGGTCCCAATCCCTCTACTGATAAGCACAGGACCCTTCACATGTCCCATTTCCATCCTGGGCCAGTTTGCCTCTCCTTAGGTATCCTGGTGGACCTCTACTTCCATCAGCATACTGGTACCAAACTTAATGCAGACACCCAATCAACTTAGTCCACTGTAGCTCAGTAGTCCTGAGTTCAAGTGATTCCCCCAGCCTCAGCCTCTTCAGTACTGGGAATTACAAGCAGGTGCCATCAGCCCCAGCATGATGGCATTATTTATACTGTTTCTCTTACAAAACTCCTTACTAGCAATGTGTTGTAGCCCTGCTCACACTCACCGTGTAGCTCTCCACTGCACTATGAAATTCAGCAAAAGACAACATAGAATGTAAAAAGGGGAATTCATACAAAATACTCTAGCAATTTTTAAGAGAAGAGAGATTATTTTCAACTGGGTGGAGAAGGGAAGGATTCATTCAGGAGTGGCAGTTGAAATGTATCCTGGAGGAAAAGAAAGATTTCAGCAGATGGAGATAAGTAAAAATGCATTGCAGGAATATGGGGTGTCTTTTATGAATGAGAGTAAGAGGGAAAGGCAGGGTGAGTTTGAAGATCAGCTATTAATCTACTTTAGCTGTAAACATATTAAAAGGGATTAACATGAAGCAAGGAGGAAAGGTAGGATTGAGTCAAGGGTTTTAAATACCATTTTATGTGATATATAATGGATAGCTGCTGATTACTTTTGAGCAGGAGAGTAACATGGTCACATAGACCAGTAGCATAGGAAAATTTTTATGGATACTGAGTATACAATGGACCAATACAGGTTGACAACCTCTGCAACTCATCATCTTAGTTGAACTTGAACCCAGGGTATCCTGGGTCTGAAACCAACTTTCTATCCACTGTGCCAGGCTGCATCTCTCAATAATGATGAGGAGGAGGATGACACTTTTCTCATAGCACTGTGAATTAGGCAATTTTTCTGTAGAGATAAACCTCTTTTCTGATTGTAGTAAACCTCAGCTCTATCTTGCTTTTCTCTTTCACTTTATATAGTGTGATATAGCTTAATGGTATAGATCACGTTAAAAGAAATAATATACTAAAGTATTTTATAAATGTTTAAGTGCTATATAAATGTTAGCTGCTATTATTATTATTTGATATCAACCATTACAGTAAACAAACATTTTATTTAGCATCTTCTACATTAAGAATACTACTTGAAGGTAGGTGACATACAAAATTTAGATAAGACATAATCATACCATCATGGAGGTCAATGCACTGCCACTTACAGTCTAGTTGGGAATATAATGCATATCCAAATAAGTATTATTCCATTTTTGCAAGGAAAACCTAAACAATTGTGGGAATGCCAAAGTGAGCCCAAAATGTCTAGGTTCCATGCTTTTAGCTCACTTTTTACAACTGTGAAATAAAAGAGTTGGATTAGATGATCTCCAATGTTCTTCCCAACCATTAACATTCCATAAACCTATGAGCTCTGTGATCCATTTTAGGAAAGAGTTCTTTGGGAGGGGCAAGATTGTGGTCCATCCCCTGTCCCTGGAGTTTGTCTTCCCCTAGTCTCCTACCCTATCAGCAGCCTCTTGCTCTTCTACCCACATTCCCATCAATCTCAACATCTTATTGTTTATTCAGCAATTAAGGTATTTCTAGAAGTGAATGAACATTGACCATAATTCAGTAGTTAACTCAAAGAGGGTTTCAAGGTATATGTGGATTTTTTCAATACAACCAATAAGTAAGAAAAGATGGTAAGACCAGACTCTATTCTCCAGCCTATTGAGCAGATTTTGAAACAGTTACTATGTTTATGAAAAGAAAAATGATCTCTAAACTCAAGGATCATTACTCTAGAGACAAAAATGCTGCCAGTGATTTGAAATTGTATTGTAAATACAATGCTCAGCAAGCATTTTCACTTCTGAACCCAGGGCTCAGTCTATAATTATTTTGGGTAATAGTTTCTATTCATAACCCTTGCTTCATTAAATTCTTCCCAACCTAAATTGCCTTTGTTTTTCTTTTATCTCCCCCAAAGCATTTGTCATCTGTGGGTTCGGGCTCTACAGACTACCCCTCCCCTAGCTATTACAGTACATTAGTGTAAATGATGCATTGTCCTTACGTCCAGGATATTATGAATGAAATATTATAGCAAGGAAACAGGACACCTGAGTTCTAGTCCCAGGACTTCCCAATAATTAACTGTGTTACTTTGGTCAACTCATATAGACTCTTGGGTCTTAATTTCCTCAACAGCAAAATAAGTGAATTTAACTGTAAAACTTTTCAAAACAATCAGTTTTGAAAAGTGTAATTCTGTTATTTCATCTAGAGAGATTCTAATAATGAGTTCTCAGGTTTGGGAAGTGGGGTCATTATGGATTATAGAACGTCTTGAATGCTAAATTAACTTTGTTAGACTTTATTTAAGAGGTAAGAGGGATTGAGCACTTTGCATATGGCCCAATGATGATCACATATGGCATGCATAAGGGAATGATTCTATTATATCAAAGTCTAAGAGAACACTTGAATATGTGGTTTGATTATACTCCTGACTATGGATTTATGTAAACCTCTAAGTTGTCCTTATTTGGGGAATTGGTGCTGGTAGGGATATTTATGCCTTTAAAACTGGTTGCATCTAAGTTTATACCTTCCCTTGACATGAAAAATCTACTTCCTGTCTTCTGAAAGTCTTTGTTATTGTGCTTTACAGTTCGAGATCGGGTAAGATCAAAAATGGAGAGAGATATTTTGGCAGAAGTGAATCATCCTTTCATTGTCAAGCTTCATTATGGTAAATACAATTTAAAAAAATTAACAAATGGTTGTAAGGACTTGGGGCAAGTTACTCCAAATAAAAGAACCATCAAAAGGTAGAAAGAAGAACATTCTAATTTGTTAAGCTCTGTCTGATAGATTGGTCCTTCTGCCTAGTTCTCTGCTTCGAGTCACTTCCCCTTTAAAAACACACAATGACCTATTTATTACAGCACCTATTAAAAGATATTTCTTTGGGGCAGCTACCCACTGTGGGTAGAGCACCGGCCCTAAAGTCAGGAGGACCTGAGTTCAAATGTGGCCTCAGACCAAACACTTGACACTTACTAGCTGTATGACCCTGGGCAAGTCACTTAACCCCAATTGCCTAAACAAAAAAAAAAAAGATATTTCTTTAAATGGGAACAACTCAGAATTAGGAAATCAATTCTTATCTTGTCTGATTGTAAAGTTCTTATGTATCCTATATTGAGTGATTTCAATATTTGTTCCTGTTTTCGTAAACAAATAAAATACGAGAGAGAAAATCATAATGGGTAAATGATCCAAGGCCCAATAATCTCATAAATTAATTTTTGCATTTTTCTTTGCCATTTTCATTTGCCAATCTTCTCTTGATTAGGTGATTTTTATGGTTGCAAAGAGAAGTTGCAAAAAAATTGATCTGCCAAGAGACATAAGTGATGAAATATTCTTAATTCTTAAGGATTCTCCTTTATTTTAAGTCCTAAGGATTCTCCTTTATTTTAAGAGCTTGACAGTGACTTAGGACCTGCAATGCTGCAAGATAGAGCAGAAAGACAAAAACTTGTAAGGGAATAAAAATATTGGGAGATTATTAGTGTAACTAGAATATAGAATTAGTGTAACCAGAATGTAAAACAGAAACAAATGGCTTTAGGGAGAAAAAAATGGAGTCGTCTTTCAACTCACAATACTGCCTGATAATTTCTTCTTAAATTGATCAGAATAAAAAACTGAATACATTTATTTAGAAATTCTTATAAATCGAAGCATGGTGGTGCCTACCTGTAATCATAGCTACCAGGGAGGCTGATGCCTCCACAAACTCTCCCGTAGTCCCTGGGTCACCAGTGGAATGCATTTGCAGGACAGTTGACCATAGCTGGCTGGTTGTACTGTCCGCTACCTGGAACACAACAAAAATAATTCACCACACAAAGTATTCTAATTCATAAACTTAGTTTCATTAGCATGGTGCCATAACCAGCTTTGCTAACCAGTCCCAGATGCTTCCATAAAAGAAGTAACACAGTGACGTGAAACAATTATAAAGAATACAGTCTTATTGAAGGTATAGGGGAAAACATAGTATTCTCTAACTCACTCAGACTTATGATGTTATGGTGCCTCAGCTTTAAGCTGTTGCAGTCCTATAATCTTCATAGCCTTTGCCATTTAATGTACTTATCAAATGTATCAGAACATACTATATATTTATCAACAATGTTGAAATAAAGGTTTATTATTAACTTGAATCAACTAGTTATATATTCCATATTCCCTTTATTCCTGCCCATACCTTACTCAACTTCAATAATAAGACAGGTTCCTTTGTGACAAAAAAAAAAAAGAGTAGGAAATATCAAAACCCTAGATTTAAAAAAAAAAAAGATGGCAGAGCTATTAATTTTAGGCCATTTTATTTATTTTCTCTATCCAGGTGTCTGTTTTCCCACCTGAGTTCCTGTATCTTTTCTGGAATGACTCAATTTTATAAATGCATGTTATTATGTTGACCAAAGAGAAACATTTAAGTACAAAGAGACGAGTCAGAATGAATGAGTAATGTCCGATTCAAGGAGAACCTTCACCACTGATGACCTATCCTACCTTCTTTCCCAATACAGCTTTTCAGACAGAAGGAAAACTGTATCTAATATTAGATTTCCTACGAGGAGGAGATCTTTTCACCAGACTCTCCAAAGAGGTAAGCTTGTAAGCTGAAAAAGATGTGAGTTGCTGTAACTTTCCTTCTTGAATTCAGGTTAGAGCTGTTGAGGATAGAAGAGAGATTTGATGACGTGAATTTGTTTTGTAAAGAGAATGTCACGGGGCAATGCAAAAGAGAGATGAGACCTAGCATTGCTGAGAGATTGTACAGCAAATAACTCTTGTGTGGCTCTGTACGGTGAGAGTGACGATAATTAGACTTTCTCTACTGCCCTTTATAGAGAAATATGAGCTTGTTATTCTGATTGCTATCTGAAGCTGTTTCCAAATTGCTTTTTGGTCCTTATTGGAAGGATGCTTTGGGAACAAAGCTTTACTCCTCACACTGGGTGAAAGTCTTAATCACAGTTTATTTTCAGGGACATCTATTCAAGCGCTCCACAATGGAGATAGAGGGCCTTCATGTTCATTAGTAATCCTCAGTACAATAACAATAATAACAATAACAGTAACTAACATTTCTATAGATTGCTTACTTACCATACCTAACTTACTATGTGCCAGGTGCTGTGCTAAGCACTTTACAATTATTATCTCATTTTATTCTCACAACAACCCTGAGAGATAGGTGCTAGTATTATCTCCATTTTACAGTGGAAGAAACTGAGGCAGACAGAGGTTGAGTGACTTTCCTAAGGTCACACAGCTAGTACGTGTTTGAGGCTGGATTTGAACTCAGGTCTTCCTGACTCCAGGCTCAGAACTCAATAATATGTTCAACCTTCAGTCACCTTAAATGGAATATTTTGCTACAGTGGAATGAACACTGGATTTGTAGTCAGAGGACCTGCATTTGAATCCCAGCACTGTCACTCACTACCTGTGTGACTGTGGGCAAGTCATTTAATTGATCTAGGAATTAATTTCTCGTCTATTAAACAAAGGGTTGGAATAAATGACCTTACTATACTCTTGCAGATATAAATCTATGACTATATGATCCTTCTGTTCCCTAATTAATCTAGCTTCTTGGGTTGAGTTGGAAGACATGCTGCATATTCAAGTTCAGAAAAATCACAGAATTCTACCCATAATAGTGACAACATTAATGCTTACATTCATCAACCAGCATTTATTAAACATGTACTGTTCTCTATATGGGGTAGCTAGTTGGTACAGTGGATAGAGCATTCGATCTAGAGTCAGGAAGATCCATCTTCCTGAGTTCAAATCTAGCCTCAGACACTTACTAGCTATGTAACCCTGGGCAAGTCACTTAAGCCTGTTTGCCTAAGTTTTCTCATCTGTAAAATGACTTGGAGAAGGAAATGGCAAACCATTTCAATATCTTTGCCAAGAAAATCCCAAATGGGGTCACAAAGAGTTGGACACTACTGAAAAATGACTGAACAGTAATAAGTATTTGCTATGCATTGTGCAAGACGCGTACAGGACAAACAGTTAAACAATCTTTATTCTCAAAGAGCTTACTGAGGCAACCAATTCCATATGTAGTATGAAGGAGGTTGGAAATTCAAGAGGGGAAAAATAATGAGTTCAGTTTTGGACCTATTAATTTGAGATGTATCTGAAATATCCAGTTGGAAATGTCCAATAGGCAGCTGATAAACACAGAGCTGTCGTTCAGGGGACAAACAGAGATTGAATGTGTAAGTCTGTGAGTCACATGCATAAAGATGATAATTAAATCCATAGAAGCTGATTTGATCACCAAAAGAAAGTATCGAGTTAAAGAGGACACAAGTTAGAGCTTCAGGGTGCATTCAAAGTTGGGGGCGTGATATGCATGATAAGCCAGTGAAAATGACTGAGATGTTAGCTTTGGCAAGAAGAGTCACCTTATATTCGAAGATTAGAAGAAAGTAGAGAGTGGGGAATGTTGGAATGGGGTTTTGAATTAAAGAAAAGAAGAGGAAAAAGGAGTTCATGTCAAGAGGCCTTGATTTCCTCTGTAAACAAGAGAAAAGGTCCTCAGCTTATCCTTGGGAAAAAGGCAGAGACTTTGAAGGAAGGCTAGAAGAGGAAAAAGTTTGGAGTATATTCTACGGGGAGTGGAATAAGGAATCAATTAGTGAGAAGTAATAAGATTGTCTTACATCAGTGACGGCCCAAATGAGGTTAAAATACATAAATGTGTAGTGTCCCCATTATAAGAGGAGAATGGTCAAGAATCAACATTTTAATAAAATACATTGGATACAGTTTGGATTTCTGATGTTGTCTAACCATAATTTTACTTACTGGACTATCGGTATGAGATCTTTATTTTCCACCCAAGTATTTCCACATTGTACATCAAATGACTGAATCTACCTAAGTATTTTATGTTCAATCTGTGTTCCACTGAATGAAACTTTATCCTTTGTGCATTCCAGCTGTTAACAAGGTATCATTTGACCAGTTTTGTGTCTATTTCTATCCATGGATCACTGAAAGTTACTGTGGGTGGCCAATCTTGGGTTATTTTTTTGTATGATCCCTTTCTGTCATGCCATATGTCCACAGGCTCTTGAATAATAGCTAAGTACCTGACTGATAAAATAGCAAAATGAATAAGGAAACTGCCTGTATTGGTGAAATTAGATGTACAATAGTGATGGGGAAGGTAGTAAGAAACAGTTATACAATCAATACAGAGAGATAAAATGGACCTTGGAGGCCTTTTGTCCTACCTCATCATTTTTCACATGAGTAAACTGAGTTTGAGCATAGTTATGTGATTTGCACAAGGCCACACAAGAAGTGAGTGCCGAAAGTAGGAGTTTTACCCAGGTCTTCTCACTCTAGAACCCATGTTTGTTCCAGAGTCATATTCTTGATTTAACTTAGCAGAATTTTTACATTATTCTTTTCCTCAAATCATGCATAAAGTCCCAGGAAAGTATGATTTGCTATGTTGTGTTGGTACATCAAAGGTGGATAGAGTATAAAGCTTTTTGGTGAGGGATAAGAAAGGATTGGCTCTGTTACCTCTTTGGTACAAAGCAGCTCCCAGAGAGGAACTTCCTCTATCAGTACAGTTCCACACCTTCTCTACAACTTATACTCTTAGAAAGTTGCTTAGAACATTGTAAAGGAAGGAGAGAGGGAAGGAAGAAAGGAGGGAAGGAAGGAAGGAACGAAGGGAGAGAAGGAAAGGAAAGGAAGGGAAGGAGTAAGGGAAGGAGGAAACAAGTGTTTATTAAGTGTCTAGTACGTACCAGGCCCAGTGCTAAGGGCTTTACAAATATTTCACTTGATCTTCACAACAAACCTGGAAGGTAGGTGCTATTATCATCCCCATTTTAGGGTTGAAGAAACTGAGACAGACAAAGGTTAAGTAACTTGCCCAGGGTCACACAGCTAGTAAGCGTTTGAGGTTGGAGTTGAACTCGGCTCTTCATGACTCCTGGCCCAGCACTGTATTCACTATGTTATGTAGCTATAGTTTAGTGACTTGCCCAGGATCATGCTGCCAGTCTATGTGAGATGTGGGATTTGAATCTAGGTCTTCCTGGCTCTAAAGTCAGATCTTATCCATTACAATTACAGTACTACTCATTAAAGATTTGGTATCATGAATATGTAGCTAACTTTTCATTATTCGTGGGCCAGTTACCCCAACACCAGTTATTCCATAATAAATCTTTTTTTCAAAATTTCCCAATCAGTTAACACCTCTTTAGTTCTTTGTTGAAAAATGGTCTGATAGGTGGAAGAGTGCTGGATTTAGAGTCAAAGGACTAGTTTCAAATCTTGACTTGATTAGAGCACCTTCAAAGTACCTTCCAGTCCAAGATCAATGATCCTACCTTGAACATGGAGACTCTCCACAAAGCCTTACTCAAACCCATCAGGAAAGCCTTTTGAAATTGAAACTACTTCTCCTCTCTCTTCTTTCTCTCCCCAAAGAAGGGAGAGCAAACCTCTAGATTCAGTAATTTTCCAGAAGACCTAGGAATAAAGCCTCCCTTTCCTTATTCTAAGTTAAAGGAGTTGAGCAGAGTAGAAAATCTGGATATACTTGTCAATTTTTCTTGTTGGGTTTTCAATGTGGCTCCATTTTTTATTGAAATGTTATGATCATCCAAAAAAGAAATACCTATACTTATGTATAAGTGCAAAATTATAGCCCAAGGTAAAGTAACCAGGGATTGAGAGAATTATCAGCTACCCTGCTCCAGTACAGTCACCTCAATGATTGAAAGATGTTTCCACATTTCATCTTTGCTCTTA